AGAGAATCAGGTGAGACTCATGACCTCCCCATCCCTAGCTCAGAGGTAGATAGATAGAGAATCAGGTGAGACTCATGAACTGAACTGCATTATTAGTGAAGCTGGGAGCCTACAAAAGACAAAGTTGTAAGCAACTAAACAATTAAGTATTCAATAAGAATGTCTCTTTAAATGAATGATACTAAATCACACTTTTGTAACATACCAAATTGTTAGAGAGAAAATTACTCATTAATATGTAAAGAATCCCCTATGTTTAGTTTCATGACTGTAAGGCTGTAACACTAAAAATAGTCTGAAAAGGACATGAGGTTAAAAATTCACATCACATTACCACTTATAAGCTCTTAATCTAATATTTAAGTATACTTCATTAACTCACAATCAGGTGAAAACACACACACACACATATGTGTGTGTGTGTGTGTGTGTGTGTGTGTGTGTACTAAAGAAGACCCTCTGGCTCCATAATATAATTTTCTCCAGACTTCAAAAATATCTTTAGTAATTTCCCATATAGTAGTGTTTAAATCTAATCACCTACAGAATTTTATTCTTCAAATAAGGTTTACTCATTTTCCTAAAGTTTTGGTTTGTTTTTAAAAATTTTGGGTATATTTTGTTTCTATTCCCTCGAACCCTAAAAATATTTTAATTTTAATTTAGATTTTTATTTTAATTTAGATTGAATGTAGATTTCAATTCAAAAAAGAAACATTTATTGAGTCCCTACTGGTCATGGAAAGAGAGAAACTGCAGGTAAATCCCAGGTAAGGTACTTACATCTTCTAAATCGGTGCCGAGCAAAGACCGAGAACTTAAGTCCAGACCTTGCAGCTGGAGTCGCGCTACCTCAAGCTCAAGTGATAGCTGTTCCGTCTGTTTCTTCTCTGCCGCCAACTTGGACTCCATCTCCATGGTCACGCTTGTCAGCTTCTGCTGCCACTGTTCGTTTTCTGACAAATACTGCTCCCTAAGGCAGTCGAGCTCTTGCCTTTCAGAACTTAATAACTGTTCGAGCTCTTGAATTTCCTTATTTTTCAGAATCCCTTGACTTTCCATTTTCTCTTCTAGCTTCTTAAGGGACTGCAAGTACATCTGACAGAGGGTCTCAAGTTCTTCAACTCTCCTCACTGGGGCAGATGGAATTTCTTTCTTGGTCAGATTCTCCTCCTCCAGACTGCCGCAAGACAGTTCGTCTCCGTTAGACCGGTCTGCTGAAACATTCCCTTCCATCCCTTCTAAGTTATTCAGCAGAGACATGTCTGCTGTCTGTTCTAAAAGAGCTTTGTAAAAAGAGGAGTCCCCAAAGCTGGAAAGACTAGGGCTGTCAGGCACACAAGAGAATGACAGTGACAAAATGCGCCCCTCCTCGGAGTCCAGCTTCGTCTCCTTCACCAGGTCACCTTGAAAGTTTCTCAGATTTGCTGACAAGACTGAATTTTCAGCCTTTAACGAGTCAACATAAGTCTGGAGCTCTGACATCTTGGAGCTCATTTGACAGTGCTGATCATGTAAAATTTTGTGTTCACTTTGCAAAGATGAGAATTTCTCCTGCAATTCGGCAAAGTGCATTTGAACTTCTTTGTTTGACAGTGTCAAGCGCTCATAGGAATTACTGTCGTCCAAAGGATTCAAGGACACAGACTGCTGCTCATTTTGCCGCTCACCGAATTCGCCTTCTGGCATTTCTTTCACTAACTCACCATGGAGAAGGCCATTTTCATCGTTTAATAGTTTAACTTCATTGACTAGTTTCTCTACCTCTTCTGCCATCTTACTAGTTGCTGTGATACATTCTGACGTTGAACCATTCAGCTCAGACACGAGTTCACACTTTTCAGCCTTCAGCATGTCACATATTTTCCCTAGCTCACTCAGCTTGTTCGTTGCCGTCTGTAGAGAGCATTGCAGGTGCGCATGGTCATTTTGACTTGTTGACAACTCGTGAAGCACTGAGATGTACTTTTCTTCTGCATCTATTTCACAGTCTTTAAGGTCACTAATGTCTTGTGACTGAGTGCCTTGCAAATTTCTAGTCTCTAATTCTGCTCTGATTGTCTGTAATTCATGCTGCAGGCACTCCTTCTCCTTCTCACTTTCCTGAAGTTTTAATTCCATAGCTCTTATCATAGCTTCTAATTGCACCAATTGTGCATTATAACTGGCTAGAGGAATGTTTTTAACTTCAAGATCCATCTGAAGTTGAAAATTACATTTATTTAGCTCACTCTCTCTTTCTGTCACAGAGTCCCTAATTGGTTCCAATTCCTGGCTTTGATATTCATGTTTAGTCTTCGTTAACTTCATCAGCTGCTCATTTTCTTGTAATACGTCATTAACTTCCATTTGCATCTTATCTTGTTCTTCCTTTAAAATCATGATTTCTTGCTTTAAACCATCAGCCTCGCTCTTGGAATTGTTTTGGATATCTTTAATCTCAGATCTCAGATCTGGCTGCACAGTCCCCAACTCTGGTATTAGATTCTGGGTTCTTTCTTCAGCAAACGCTAATTTGGTTAAGAGTTCTTGGTGTTCCTTTGCAAATGTTTCCTTTAGCTGTTCCAACTCACTTTTTCTATTTTCACAAACACTAGTGCGTCCATTTAGCAAGCATTCTAATTGAGAGTTCTTTTCTTGCGCTGCTTTGTATTTTTCACTGAGATCCTCAAATGCATTTCTGGCTTCTTCACATCTTTGTAGTAAAATAAGTCTGTCTTGCTTGTACTGATCAGATAACTCTGAAATGCATTTCTCTCTCTCATCTATATGGTTTGAAAAACTCTCAGTTTTTTGGAGTAAGTTCATCTTCTCTTGACTTAAGGTTGTATTTATTTCCTTGAGAGTCTCATTCTCTTGGGTCAGTTCTTCAATTTCTCTTTTATTTAGAAAAATGATGGAACTCATTTCCTTTTTCTCTGAGCTCAGAGTTTCAGATAAAAGTTGTAGCTCCCTTAGAGATTCTTCGAGTAGATGGTTGCTCTTTTTTAATTCTTGAATCTCTGCTTGCTCAGTTTCTAATTTTTCATTCACGAGCTGCAACTCTTTTTCCTTGTTCTCAAGGGCAACTAAAGTTTCCGTGACAACATTCTGATGAGCAGAAGTGTCTTCTTGTAACTTACTAATGCGATGACTTGTTTCTGTCACAAAACTTTGATGCATCTGCTCTGCTTTCATGAGATTTTCTTCTATTTCTCCTCTGATTTGCACCAACTCTTCACACTGCTTTTGCAGATCTGAGTTCATCTGCTTTTGAGACTGCAATGAAAATTCAAGTGAATCAACTCTATTTTGTAGAATGGTTGAATTTTTTGGACTTTGGTCTGCTTGTAAATGGCATTCGCTCCTTTCTGAAGGCACGCTTCCTTGTTCTCCAGTTATATTTGCAAAGGAATTATTCATGGCAGCCTGCTGTTCGGAAGGCAAAAGACTTTTCTGATGATCCTCATTTGGCACCAGAGAAGAATCTTTGGATTTCAGCAGATCCATGAGGCTCTCATATTCGACATACAAGTCTTGGTAACACTGGTCTTTGGCCATTTTTTCACTTGACAGCAACTGAAGCTTCTGTTCCAGATCTTCAACTTGCCCAGTAAGCTGAGAAGTTTTCAGACACATATTTTCTATTTCCTTCTTATGCTTCTGATCCGAGAACTCGGCTTCCTGCTGCAGTTCTACATAAGCTTGTTTCTGTGTCTCTACCTCCACAGACTTGCTGTCTATCACATTGTGGAGGTTTCTGATCTCAACATTTAGGTTTTCTTTTTCCATCTCCAAGGTTCTTACTCTCTCATTGTATTCGTGACTTTTTATTTGTTGCATCTTGAGACAAGTTTCCAAGTGATTAATTTTACTCTGCAAGTTTTCCTTCTCTGATTCCATCTGATTTAAAAGTTTTTCGTTTTCACTCTTCCAACAAGAAAACAGAGTTTTCTCTTCTTTCAGTTCTTCATATTCTTTCTTTTTTAACTCCAAAGCATTCAATAAGGCTTTGGACTCTTTCTCTGTCTTGCTTAACTTATCATTGAGCTGTTCGATGTGATGTTCCCTTTTCTTTAAAAGGTCTTGAGAACAATCTCGCTGCTTTTCCAGATCAGCCACGGCAAGCTTCAGTTTCTCTAATGTCAAGGAGTTTTCTTGCTGATTTATTTTTTCTAGAAGATCTCTTAACATGGTTTCCTGAGAGGTATTCTTGGCTATTTGAAAAAAAAGAGAAAAAAAAAAAGCTGTCAATGTTTGTAATAAATATTTACTCTGCAAGAACTCCAAACTCTAAGAAAAAAATTGCCTGGGTACCCCCTGAACAGTGGATCACCTGATAATTAGCTAAGCTTATATAAAGACAATGAGAAAAACTGTCATTTTAAGCATAGTAATACATTTGTTAATCTTCTTTCTAGCAGCTTAATAAAGTGTTGTATAAAATGCCAAGGGATTATTTTCCTAAGCACTAGAAACTTTCTTTTCTTCTTTTTCTTTGTAGGTGTTTATGTGTGTATATTCTTCCTGCCTTTTGAAATATTTATTCAAAGAGAGAAAATTTGGGACACAAACAGCACTGACATAGGAATATCCCACTTCGCTCTGGATTAATTCTGATGTCCCAGAAAAGTAAATAACTACTCTACCATTTTAGCCAAAAATCCGTAGGACTAGGCTTAAGTAGAAAAGAATAAATGACACTATATGTCATTAACTCTCAAGGCCCATGTGTGAGTATTCTTGGGGAATAATATCACTTGCATCCCAGCCCTTCGCAATAAGGGTGGTCTATGAATATGAAAATTATCTGGAAGCTTCTTCAAATTCCATTACCACCTTGTGTTCTGCCCCATGACTCACCTCTACCAATGGGCCCCTCCTCGTTGGGAACAACCACAACGATTTCATTAAACAGTGATGACAAGGCTTCTTGTTTGTCAAGTATGTTGGGGGAGAATAAAAGTTGAGAACATCCATAGACATGAAAGCAGCATGCATTACAATCTCAGATGTTACACTAAGTGGGAAACAATGCAGATTTCTAAGCTGCTAATCTCAATCACCAACTGAGAGTCACGGCTTGTGGAGACAGTGCCAGGGGGCTTCCATCTACTTTGCTTGTGAGGACCTCAAACAATGACACTGGTGACCAACATGAAAAGTTCCCGAAACATTCCTTTTCTGACAATTTTCCTTCAAGAAAGCTAAAGACTGACATTTCTACCTGCTGCAGTGGAAAAACTGAAAGCTATCTTGCGGAGACTACAATTCAAAACAGAAAATAGTCACAGAGAAGTGTGACACACATTCCACAGGTCTGAGTTAAAAGAAATCCTAGATGTGCAAACACCCCAGGTGAGAAAATAAATGTAAGCAAAAGACATATGGCACAAAAAAATATATGTGAAATGAACAGTGGATTCCCTTGATGTGGATAGCATAATTCTCTGGCTTTAAAATAAGGAAATAAAACCATTCAGTCAAGTAAGTCATCAAAAAACAATGATCATTAAGGGCCTGGAAAACATGCATTTAATATAGGGCTTTCCCATTATAAGGGAAATGGAGATGAGTCAGAGGAGCTGTCTGGATGTAACTAATGAGCACACCTGAGACACAGAGCATAGCACTCTGGGGTGAGAGACAGCACTGACAATTTAGCTTTGTGTGGAAAATATTTACCCTTCTGGTTTCAAAGTGCTGAACACTAGGCATTTTGGGACTCAGTATGTTCTAATTAAAAAATGTCCAACTATCACTCTGGAAACTAAAAAGTGGAAAAGGGAAAACGCTCTTTCCCCATCAACTGGGCACATCTTTTTAAGTGAATAAATGGAAAAACCCAAAGAAGTTCACTAATGTGCTAATGCTACCATCCTCCTTCATGGGAGTAAATAGCTTAGGAAAATTAATTCTAAAAGGCTAAGTTTACTCACCTTTCATTTCTTCTGCAAAATTCTGGCTCTGGTTTAAACACTGTTTGACTTTCTTGAGTTCTTCCTCCAGGTGGCAGACTTCTCTGGCCTTTTGCTCAGACTGACTCTTAAGGAAGCTGTTTTCCTTCTTTATTTCCTAAAATACACAGCAAATTGGTTATAATCAAAACAAATGTTCAAATGTGCTTCTGCCTTAATAAAGGTCCCTGGCAGAACTGTTTGTATGTGTCACTTGGGGAAGAATCACACTTCCCCGGTGAGTACTGAATGAAGTCAGACATTCTTACTGCAATCAAATAATGTTATGATGAGAAGTCAGAAAAAAAGCACATAGCATAACCCTGATAATAATTTTGTTCCTTCAAAAAATGTATTTCTTTAAACTTCCTGGCTGTTCGTATGGCTATTACAGAGGTAACTCATAAGGAAAATCCTATTTACAAGATCCTCAAAGACAAAAGCTCCAAGTTCTTGTCGCATCTGAACGACCAAATCAGCACATCAAATCTTTGCAAGGATTTGATATGTTAATAAACCAAAAAATTCAAGTGACAAATTTTTACTTTTCATTACAAAACTATCTTAAGGTTCACTGTTATGGAAATGTCTTTATGGGTAAAATTATCTTCAATAAATATTCATCAAGAAAACCTACAGTGTTCAAAATGCTGGAATGTACATTATGAAAAATGCAAATATAAACAAGACAGACTCTGCCATCAGGGCAGGTCCCCTCCAGTGGGGGAAGATGTGATTCCAATCATTTAATACACACCAGGATGTGTTCAATACTAAAGAGACATTGATTGTGCTATGGGAAATCACAGGGCTGGGGCAGAGAGGAAGAAGTAATTCTAGACGGGGAATCTGAACTCGCACAGTGAAAACAGGTTCTTTGGGTGTCTGATTGAAGAAGTATCCATCCATCGATGTGCTATAAAGTAGCAGAGATGCATACACACAGCTCCACTCTATTATCTAGGGAAACCTGTATGCTGTTCTGAATCTTAAAACCAAGCAATATTTATTTACATGCCAAATAAAAACACTATTGCTTACTAACCACATAAGACTCGCATAATAAACATTATAAACATTCCATTCATACTTGAAACTTTCAGTGATTTTTATAGCTGATAAGTATCTTAATCTATCTTGTATGCCACTCTCTGGACCACAGGGAATTGCCATATACCACTGCAAAGTGACAGAACCAAGTGCCTCATAGCCTTAAGGGGAAAAAAAAAAATCATAAGGCTTTTTTTTAAAATTGCATTTCAAAAATATCAAAAATATCCCTCTGAGACGTAGAGGAAAATTGTTGAATCTTAAAGAAACAATTAAGACCCATCCTCCAAAACCCTACTGCACCGTTAGAAAACAGATGGCCCTGGCAATGCTGTGTTGGAAGACTGCCTTCAATTATCAGTCTGGTTACTACCAGCAGATGGGTACCCATGTAGCAAAGCCAAATTCAAGAAGAGGGAGAATCTGGCTAGTAGAAAGTACTTGAAAACTTGCTGGCAGCTGCTCTGTTCATATATATGCGTTCATTTTATCATTAAAACAAGACAGAACCTGTTGTGGTTATTACACGCCCCTGTCTCCTGTGTCCTAATCGGGCTTCCTTTCCACTAGTTAACTGATACTCTATCAAATTAAGATAGCAATCAGAACTAAAGGGCAGTTCCAACTGATCTCAAGATTGAGAGGCTAACATTCACACCAGTCAGTGTTAAATTTTGCAAAAAAAAGATGATCATTACGGTGCAAGAATGTTATTGATTTAAATTGGCATCATTACCCTATAGAACCTATAATCACTTGTTTGTTCTTCGGACTCAGAATAACCACCCCGCAAATGAGATCACAGATGTGAAAGGAAGAACACCTTAAAGCACATCAACAAGGGTAACAGAGTATTACTAGTAGTATTTCTTCCCGAAGTTTAACAGTAGCCAGAGCTCCAGGATCAATGCTAATTAATTAAGATCAGCTGAATGAGATCAATGTAAAAGAGAAACTAGAATGTATCCACTCGGGTTGACTTAGAATTTTTATTTTATAACTTAGAAAATATGTTCTTAGTCTAAAAAAAATTAATCAAATCAAACGACACCTATATCTGGAGGTTTGACAAGAAATCTGTAAAGACACTGTGTGCAAAACTGGGTGTATCCCAACAGGAAGGAAGGGAGGTAAGAAAAAGGAGAGAAGGAAGAAAGGGCACCAGGGAAAGAGGAGGAAATTTATGTTTATGTGTTTGTTGGTCTCAATCCATCTCTGTCCATAACTGGAGATGCTTAAATGAATAGTAAGCTCAATGGAAAGATTAACATGCCTTTCTCTATTCTGGCATTAGCTCCGCAAATATTTGCTGCGAACGAAGAAATGTTCAGCCAATCCTGGGACCCAACAGGCTTATAATGCTATGGCTGTGACCAACCCAAGAATTTTAAAAGGCCAGAATTTAGAAAATGAACATCTGAAAATGGCCATGCAGGCTGCCATCCATCAGCAATTAGTTTTCCACGAGGCTACAGCCACTTAAGACTTGATTGGGTAGCTCGTTATCAACAATGAGTTAAGCATACAGAGATATATTCTCCTAGGCATCCCTTGCATCCTCACATGATTTGCAAAATCGGGCACTGCTCTGGAAAAACACAACAAAAAAAATCCCCATAACCGCAAGCCAGCGTTAGCGCTTAGCAAGTAATTCCACCCAGATCAACTTGGGTTTAGGAGCAGCAAGGGAAGCATCATTTCCTAGGGCCAGACAAAACAAATTTCAGTTACTGTGCTGCATTTCATGATCCTATCCATGAATACAGCTTAATACGTCTCCTGCTGGGGCAACGTCTATGTAAGTGAGTAAGGGAGGATGCAAAGGATGTGCTTTTCCCCTTCTGCCTCATCATTCCTGCCTGCCAGACCAAGCTCCTTAGAGGACCTAGCGAGATACAGATCCCTATGCTTGGAAAGGTCCCCAAGCAAGTGTTCCCTCATCTTGACGGTCAAATGATGGTATTTTATCGCCCAACCCCAACGCGATGGGGGCTGGTGCTGGATGCTGGACGAGCAGTTTATCTAAACCCTCCATTCACTTTGATACTAAATGTTAACTTTACTCTTGATTGGGCCATTAGATCACGTTTCCAGTGCTGATAATTTCTCAATGGGAGCAGCATGTTTACTAAATACGAACGAGGAAAATTTCAGTACAACTGTCACGTTATTTCAGCATCCAAAACCTATAAGCATGCTAAACTTGTTTGTACTCATGTATAATTAGATACAGAAAAGATACTCAGAGTGATACAATAATAGAACAGGCAAAATGTTAAATATGAAAATTCCCAAATGCACTGTCCCCTGGTCTCACACTTTCTGTGCCTGTAGGTGACACCAAACAATGCTGACATCAAAAGGTCGTAACAGTTGTGAAGACCAAAGCAACGCGCAGGTGGCCTGCAGTAACTGACTGAGCGCTCACGTGCTGGGCACTGGGCTAAGCACTTCACATACAATATTTCATTTACTCATGACCACAGCCTTGAAAAGGGAGGGGTATTATTTGTCCCCATATGCAGATGAGGAATGTCAGACTCAGAAAGGGGAAGTCATTGTCTCAAGGTCACACAGCAGGAAGGTGGCAGAAAAGCAAAGCGATCTCAGATCTTGCTCACTCTAAAGCCACCACTGTTTTCCCACTAAGTGATACCACCTCGCTTACTGGGTAAATCACCCACCTGATCCCAATCCAAGTGCAAAATGCAAGAGCCAGCTACACCCTTTGAATTCTTAATGGCATCCTCAAAAGGAGACACATACGCAAGCATGAACATAAATTAAGATGAATGCTAAACTCATTCCCAGGCCCTGCACTAGGCACTTTCCCAGATTTGACAAAGAAATCCATGAATTATAAGTGAAACATGATATGCACGTGCTTCGGTACAAGCTAGGGTTAATCGAGGACAGCTCTACAGCTGGCAGTCCAGACCTCGTGGGGAAGAATGAGTCTTCAGAAACACCTGCAAGACAATGTCCAGCCCACTAGTGAGACTTGGCCAAGCAAGCAGTTTGAAAAGTGTTTGGACCCTCTTAACCAGATGATTGCTTTTACAAAATGTTTCCACCAGGCAGCCAGTGGAGTCGCGGGAGAGTTCCTGGCTGAAAGGGAAGCTCACAGAGGGAAGAGTTCGATGCCAGTCTGCCTGTGGAAATGTTAGCAGAAGCATCTGTTGGTTGGTCCCCACTGGCCAAAAGGCAAACATTTGTTTTGCTGAAACAAACACTTCCATTTGAAAACGTTTGCTGATGAAACCATCATCTGATGTGAAGTTTTCTTCCACTTGGGTGGCTGGCGCGGTGGCCCCGTCTCCAGCAGTATTACCCCTTTGAGGCTAGCTGATTTAACAATCGCCTCTTTGCTACCGACAGATGTTCTGATTTTACCATCGTGACACACTCGGCAAAGCTGTGGGGATAAATACATTTAGACTTTCCTCACCGAGATAAATAACTATTCTTTATAGAGAATTTTGTAAAATCTTTACAGCCTAAAAACTGATCACAGAACATTTAAAGAGTAAGTGGAAGAGCATTCTTTCCTTGGAGGTTTAATGTAGAAGAAACTTCTATTATTCTTGTATTATTCCTCTTTTTAAAATTACGATGTTGATTTATGGCTCTATTCAAATTGTTTCAGTCTATTAGCTATTGCTAAATGGTTCTTAATTAAGCCTCTAAAATAAACTCCAGGACACTAAATAAATTCAGAGAGAAGCCAAATTAAAGTATGTATGAATAAAATCCCATCAGTAGAAACACGGAGGTACACCTCAGGTCCCCACCATTCAGGAACCCTCGCAGATTAAATAGGATCTCCAAGGGCACAGTCCACCGGTGCTTGCATCTGCTGAACACTGAGGTTTGTGTTCACTTTTGAAGCCAGAATATAATTTACAATTACTTGATGATTTTATAAGAATTTTAAATCAAGAAATGCTTTATTCATCAATACTTTTATTTATTTTACTTATTTACTTAATTTTTTAAGAGAGGGTCTCACCCTGTTGCCTAGGCTGGAGTGTAGTAGCATCATTACAGCTCACTCTAGCCTCAAACTCTTGTTCTCAAGCGATCCTCCCACCTCAGCTCCCCAAGTAGCTGGAACTACAGATGTGCGCCAAGACACCCAGCTAAATTTTTTTCATTTTTTATGGAGACAGGGTCTTGCTATGTTGCCCAGGCTGGTCTTGAACTCCTGGCTTCAAGTGATCCTCCCACCTGCTGGGATTATAGGCATGAGCCACCATACCCAGCCATTGTTTATTTAAATCTATGACTTTCCAAAAGTTTTTAACACATTGACTGCCACACTAGGAAAAAAAAATTTTTCCTTGGGGCCATGGTGTTTTATTGCAAAAATAGAATAAAAACTTCAAAAACAGAACAATCCTTTCAATTTAATGAAAAAGTTGTTATTTTTTATTGTTTTCTGTGCATGAGTTATGTGCAACTTGTAAAATAATTCACACGGCTCCCAAGGTGAAGAGATGTGTAAGTTACATATGTTTCATGAGGCCCTGGGCTCAAAACTAGCGTGAGTTAAATACAACTCACATGGCAGTTACTGTGTTAATATTGGATGACCCAAAAGCCAACCCTTAGAAAAAAGATCTAGATAACATTTCCCATCAACAATTTTGTTTCTTTCCATTTAGAAAAGCCCTTCCTTTCTTTCTTCCATCCTTCCACCTTCCAGGCACCCTAAAACAATCTTTAAAAAAAAGTACACATTCTTTACACAAAGTCATGTTTCCTATAATTGTTAGATGCATATGAGAAATTATTACATATAGGAATGGAGAGTGGAAAAATTAACATTTATATCCTGCCGTGGGTGATATACAGAACACTATAATCCTTACTCCCAGCAAATGGAAAAGAAAAATGATGTAGTCATGACAGGCTACTGACAAATAGTACAGAAATTCTCTTTTCTCCTTGTACTTGGTCCTGCACAGAAATTAAGAAATACTCAGCTCTCCCCTTCGCTCACCTCGATGCTTCTCCTCAGCTCATTCTCCTTGATCTGACTCGCCTGCAATGCCTGTTCAGTCCTGCAGAACTTTTGCTTAAACTCCTCCAAATTTTTTTCTAGCTGTTGCTTTCCCGATGTGACCTATGAAAAGGAAAAAAACGCCAAAGTATCATTTTTATGTTCTTTACTTTTCCAATCATTTATTCTTAGATAATAAAAAGATCATGGAATATAATAATCGATGCCATTGATTTTGGCACACGATACACATCACAGCTAAATATACAACTTAAAATAATGTGAACCTGTAACATCACTTACAAAGGAAAAAAGATTTAACCACCAAAAAAAAAAAAAAAACTGGACTGTAATAAACAACCAAAAAAGAAAAGTTGAGATAAGAAACAGACTGGGAGAATGTATTTTCAATATATTTTACAGAATAACAAAGATTATATCCATAATACAATATATAAAGCACATCTATGATTCAATTTACAAAAAGACAAACCAGTTTTTTAAAAAAAAAGGACAATGGATAGAAACAGAAAATTTTATGCAAAAAATACTCATGGTTACTGAAAGAAATAACTTCAATGGTAATTAAGGGAGTGTGGATTAAAACAATGATATAACACTTTTCACTCCTTAGTTGGCAAAATTTTAAATATGAGTATTTTCTCCAATTACTAAGGATGAGAAGAAACAGACCCTTTCTTAGACCTAGTGGGAGAGTAAACTGCTATGACTCTTTTGAAGGGGAATATGGCAGTATCTATCAAATATTAGAATACATATGTCCTCCAAGCTATCAATTTCACATCTGGAAACCTGTCCCACAGAAACATCAGCACACAGACACAAAGATACCTGCCCAGTGATACTACAAACAGTGCTACAGCGAATATGTTGAAAACCTAAAATATCCATCAGTAGCGGAATGATTAAAGAAATTACAAAACATCCAATAAAAGCAAGGCTCAGATAATACTAACAGAATGTTCCTTTTCAGTTAATAAAACAAAAACAAAAACTCCCAACTATACATTTGTAAATGTATAGCTTAAAAAAAAAAAAAGGCCCTGGAGGACACCCATTAAACTGTTAGTGACAATTTGTCCTGGGAAGGGGAGAAGGAAAGAGGATTTTTCTTCTTTTTACCGAACTTGGATGGATAGATAGACAGATGTATCTAGAAGCACATCAGATAGTTCCTTGCGTATAAGAGAAATCCACAAATGTTAGCTCTCCCCATCCCAGCTGCACTCTCCCATTCCTGATTCCTCTATTAAGAGAAGTCAACATGTCCTGCCTTTGTTATATCTTGAATTTAAGTTTTAAGCTTTACTTTTCATAAAATAAAAGAGACTCTACTTACATGGTAAATCCCTAATTTTAGAAAATAAAGAAGCAAATACTAAGAAAAAGGATGTAAGTCTAACAACAGGTGAACACCTGCACATCGGGGGTAAACTAAGATGTGTCGCTCTCCAGCAAAATGGGTCAAGTCAAGGAAAGAACGAGCCACTGCACTGCACGGGCTCTGCCTTCTTAGAGCTGCAGATATTCCGTGCTTAGGGGCTGTCCACAGAGCAGCAACTCACGGAGAGATTCGAGTGATAGGAGGAAGACAATATAAACGAATAACCATCGTGTGTGCCAGAAGGTATCCACTGCGGAGAAAAATAAAGCAAACTAAAGAAAACAGAAAGCTCCTGAAGTTAGGGATTTAAGTAGTGACCAGAGACAATTTCACCGGTAAGGTGACCACTCAGCAGAAATCGCAAGGAAGTGAAGGAGGCCGCTGCCCTGCAGATCCATCTGGAGAAAGAACATCACCAAGAGGGTGTAGCAAGAGCAAAGCCCAAAGTTTGCACGTGCTTGGCGTGTTTGGCCAAGGACTAGGAGGCCACGGGAGTGAGGGGCAAGCAGGAGAGGAGGTCGACCACTGAGGGGGGCAGGAGGGAGCTTAGGGGTCCTGCAGGCCTGTTGAAGGACCTGGCTTTTATCCAAGAGAGACAGGAAGTGATTGCCGGGTTTTGACCACAGGAGCGCCATGATCTGACTTTTACTTTAAAAGGCCCGCTCTGCTGCTGGTTGGGAACAGACTGTCAGGGGAAAGCCCAACAGCAAGGAGAGCAGTGAGGAGGCTGGGACAGGAACCCCGGGGAGCGAGGGCAGTGGCTTAGACCAGGGGGTGGCACCATATATGGTGAAAAGCAGTCACAGTCAACCTGAAACATAAAGAGAGACATAAAAGTCAGCCTTATTCTTAGCAGGAAGGTAGAGATACATATGGAGGGTTTCTGGGGGTCGCCAAGACTCTACCTCCTGACACAGGGAAGGGTTATAAGAGAGCATGCCGCAGGACAATCTATTGACGTACACATCTGTTCTATATGGATTTCATATTTTAACACAAACAAGTTTAAATACGCTACATGTATATACAAATACACATGCACATACACACACACGTATATACACAGAGATATGCAAATATCTGTGTGTGTGTAAACAAATAAAGATAGAGTCGGCAGTTTTAATGGACTAATTTGAGGCACGAGAGGAAGAAACAGAACTGAGGATGACACGGAGGTTTGGGCCTGAGCAACGTGGAGAACGGAACTGCTGGCCGCTGGGATAAGGAAGACTAACGGAGGAACAGGTTTGAAAAGATAATAGCTGGAGTTCAGTGACGAGCATGTGAAATGCCTGTTAGATATACAGGTGGGATGAGTCTACAGTCCAGAACAGTCATCCAGGCTGGGGATGTAAAATGGATGTAAAAATCATCATCGTACAGATGATACGTAAGGACAGAAAACTGGAAGAGACCACTTTTGGAGTGAGTCTTAAACCGGTAAATCGATTATCATTTTCAGTTGCTTTAACTATCTAGGAGGATAAACCGCTTGGAACAGCTCCCACCAAGAACCACCAGAACAGCAGAGACCTCCACAGACCTCCAGATCTGAAATCCTGACTCATCGCCCTCTTTCTCTAGATGAGAAAACTGAGAGCCGGAAGGTTCTGTTTGCTCTCCACTTTGACAAGTAAGGAAAGCGAGGATAGAACAGTTTTCCTTTAAAAGTGCCGCACGTCGGCTATGGTAGGGAAATAACTCATCTGGGGAAAAGGGGCGATTGCTGAGGAGGGAGAGAGATGCTGGCACCCTACTTTATCCAGCTCGGCCTGCAGGACGTTGTGCGTGTTCTTGGCTTGCTGTAGCTCCTGGGTGAGTCTGGCTTTCATCTGGGTGCACTCTTGGTCCAGGGTCTGGAAAGATCGCTGTTGATGAGAGAGCTCCTACAAAACAAAGAGCATTCACGTCAGCCCAATGCTGGTTGGCAAGGGAGATCCAGGGTGAGACACAAACACCCCAACAGGCGACGCTGTTCTGAGGGCGCAGGAGACAGCAGGGAGCCGGGCGGCCGTCCCCTCAATGATAAACATAATCAGCCTCAACGCTGGGCCTAGTAATCAAATTCAGGTCCCTGAGGGGACAGGGAAAGAGTCCGTCAGTTGACCTTGTGGAAACTAGCCTGTTTCCGCCTCAGCCCCAGTCGTAAATGTATCATCTTTGTCTTGAAGGATCAGGAACCAGAGAGAAGAGCTAAGCCGCAATCATCACAACTCAGCTGAGAAATCAAACATGCTCAAAAACGGCATTTAAAACATCAAAAACCATGTACCACTTAAAATGGTCTTAAATTTAGAAGAACAGGAAGTATACACCACCTTTTAACTTTGATAACCACAGAAGGATGCCAGTTAACATTTGCAGTCACTCTTGTTGGAAGACCATAGACTGTCAATCATAAAATATGCAGGCTAACTCCCTGGAAGAACCAAACTGGCCGCAATACTTACAGAAGGGCACCTTCCACCCTAACTTGTCCGCCAGCTGCATTCTTCACCATATCAACCACCTTTCTATTAACTTATTTGCCAACCTGTGGGCTTTAAAAACAACTGGAAATTGTAATACAATGTCCTTCACAGCAGAGAGAATGTCTGAAAGCTTTCCTACCCAATATCAACTCCCAAACAAATCAGAAAACACAGATTAAAAAAAGAAAAAGTTCTGATGACTAATTCTCTTCTCCAATCAAAAACTGAAAGATGGAAAAAGTACAGAATGCAAATGTAAAGGAAAATAAAGTGAACTTTTATTCGCAAAGTATTTCCCCTCTAATAGAATTTCCCAAATTATGATAAACAGTTCCCCTTTCCAAATGATCAAACTATGACAAGCCCACAAAGAGCCTTTCGAACAAATTCTTCATGAACCCGTTTACCTTACCTCTTGAAATTCCTTTTCTTTTTCCTTAATTTTCTGTTCCAGGGAACATCTGGCACTTTCTGCATTTTGTCGCTGGCAACTCAGATCTTCAGTTAATTTTTTCAATTTTTGTTCCAATTCAGTACACTAACAACAAATAAAAATGTTCAAGTCAAAACAGAAATGATTCAAGTTAAGAAGCAAATAGTTCGTGTTTTAGAAAAATTAGTCCCAAGATCTGTTTCAAGCTTACCCTTGTTTTGATATTTTTATTTCCTAAAAGGTTGGGTTTAAAACTATAAGCCAAATACTAAAACCACTATAATTATTTTAGTACACAATTTATATTTGGGAAATATTAGCAAGGATGTAAAGCATTAGCCCATTTAAATAAATAGTCCATAATTTGTGCCATGAATAAAGAGATCAGCATGGCTAATGATTGTTCTAACATTTTGTTGCATGGAAATGAGAGGTTAAGATGCAGCGATGTTAACCTATGTAATTTAAAGCCTGTAAAACAATCAGAGGGTGCCCATTACGCTCATGTGACAGTCTGTTTCAAGTGTAACGGATTTTTGTGGGAAATTTTAAATATTAAAATATTTCTTTCCACAATGTTTCTACTAAGCCACTTTAAATTCCTGGAGATTCGTGGCACTCCAGAGAGCATCCCAACTGGTTTTTAATCGAGCTGCCATAAGCGACACAAATAACATTCTATTCGCTTTTTGCCATAGCCAGTTATCCCTGAAATAATAATTAAAACATGAACTACATGAAAATGTAGAATACTCTTCTAAAATTAGATTGGAACAAAATGGTCTTGATTCTTAGAGTGCTAAAACTCATTCCTCTGTATCTTCTCCATGGACTCAAATCCTTAAACCGCCCCACAAAATGACACTAAAGACCCAGGGACTGACAAGACCCCTCCACGCTGGTGGGGAACAATTCCCCACTCCTGAAGAAATGTGCTCCAGTGTGGCAAGAGATTCTCCAATACTGATTTAAAGCTGTGAGAAATATTACAAATGTAACTGGGAATTCAGAGGAAGAGAAAATACTATGTAATACTTTGCCACAAGACCAGTAGGTCACCAATTATTAACTAATCAAAGATGAAAAGGGTCAAGCTGGCCATTAATGACTAAATGATTTTGCAAATATCAGAACTTTAAAAATACCCAATTCAAAAGGTAAACTTTTGAGCCAGGAGTTCAAATTAATCCAATGCCTTGGGCATTAAGACATCTTTGCCATTATCTCTATTGTCCCAGAACTTTTAAATGCCCAAGGAAAAGCATTACAGAGATTATTTATAACAATAATAAATATGAATTCGACAAATATTTATTGAGAGCCTACTATACGTCAAGCACTGTTTTAGGCACTGAGGGTACGGCAGTAAACAACAGACAAAAGTCATTGCCCAAATGATGGTCCAAAATTTTGATGGTTGACTAACTGCAGGGGGGAAAAAAACCCACCACCTCACACTGTAGAGTACATGAATGAACCCTTGGCGCCCTCTACTGGCACTCCTTCAAACTGCAACACATCCCACTGATGGATCTCAGAATCAACAAATCCTTTCCTACTAGACAGAGGTTAAAAAAGAGTCTTTAAAGGGTATTTATATTTTATTTGGAATTTTTTTTTAATGGAATTCTATATCGACGATGCACAATCCATGTAAGAGTAGCCGACCACTAGGTGTCATGAATGCTCCATAATACTATAAAATAGTAGCCAGAGCGCAAGTCCTTGAAAATATGTAGCATATGACCCTGGGCACTCACTCCCTTAATCTCTCTGGGCCTGAGCTTTGCATCTGTGCAGTATGGGGGCTGAACTCCAGGTTTGCTGCCAGCTCAACACTCTGTTTCTACATGAATTCAAGGCTTGTTATCCCACACAGTTTTTAAATACCTGGAAAAGACATACTATAAACAGCATATGTGCGCTTAAGAACATGGTATTGATTTTTGTTACGGTAACTTCATTTCATTGAATAGGCAATTCTAACGGTAGATCAGGAAACATAGCATAATTTTATTTCAGCAACACGTTTGACAAAGTCATATTACCCTATGGGACAAGACAGAGAAAAGTAGACTGAATTTTCAGTTAGGTAGATTTGTAGCTCACTGGAAAAGAGGAATCCAGAAAGTACAGAACAAACAAATCCTAACCTCATCCTAATCCTCAACCTAGAGGAAAGTCCCTAATAGAAAGAAAGCCAGAGCTGTATTCTCAGCATTGTCCCACTCAAAAAATCTAATTCATGATCTGATGAGAAGAAACCACACCAAACATGTCAGGTAGAACAAGGATTTGGTGAGCTTATCATACCAAAACCGACAAGGTAAAATGCAAAAGGATAAATGTAATTCTTTTACATAGGAAGACCTAACTTGGCAGAAATGCAACTGAAAATTAGCTTAATTGACCAGGAATTCAAAAATAAGGCATGATAATAACAACTGATATTATTATAAGTTCATCATGTGTCAGGTACTATGCTAAAAGTTATCTCAATCTTTACAACAACGCTATGACACAGGCATTATTATTAACGCCATTTTATTGATTAGGCAACTGAGGCTCCAAAGTTCATTAAACAGCTCCAAAAGCCACACAACTGGGAAGTGGCAGAGCCAGGGTTCAAATCCAAATCCTTTTACCTTAAAAGACCAAATTACCATTGCGAACTGAGACTACATAAGGAGATTAAACACATGGATCAAGGCAGGTCATAGTTCCATTGAAGCTCCACTGCTCCTTCTCAGATCTAATAAATATTTCTCCAGACTTTCTCTGTGCAAAGCACTACACTAGGAGGATATACAAAAATGAACCTGACTTACACCTCCCCATTCCTCCCAACAAGAACAAATAAAAACTCTGGACATTATATTAAAACAAACACAAGAAAGGTCTGATATGCCCAGCAGAAAAATCCTTCAGGAATGAAAAGGAAATCAAAACATTCTCAAATGAAGAAAACCTAAGAGAATTTCTGGCCAGCAGACGTACTTGAAAAGAATGGCTAAAGAAAGTTTTCTAAGCAGAAAGGAAATGATGGAAGAAGGAACGTTGGAAGGAATCTAAGAAAAGGGGAACAACAAGGTAAGCGACAATATAGATATATATAATAGACTTTCTTTTTCTTCTTCAGCTTTTTAAAATATATTTAACAGTTGAAGCAAAATGTAGTTCTAAACGTAGGTAGAGAAAACATTTAAGACAATTATATTATTAATAGGAGAGGATAAAAGGATGAAAAGAGAGGTAAATGGTTTATAAAATTTATTAGAGGTAGTAAAATGAAGACACCAACAGACTGTGATAAGCTGTGTATAAATAAGGTCATATCTGGAACAATCACTATAAAAGCTCTACAAAGAGATTTACTCAAAAATAGTATAGATAAATAAAAATGGAATTCTAAAAAATGTTCAAGTAACCCACAAAGGCAGGAAAAAAAAAAACCAGAGAAATGAAAAAAAACAGACAAAAACAGAAAATGAAAAATAAAATGGTCTAAATACACTGATTAAAAAACAGATAATGGAAGACTATATTAAAAAACATGGCCAAATTTTATGCTGTCTCTATAAAACTCACCTGAAATA